TGATGGTCTGATTCAGCATGGTTGTTCTTACATTGGTGGGCTGTTTTCTTCAAAGTGTCAATGTCAATATTTAAACATTTTACATTGCCTAACAATGTTCTACCAAATCCTGGTGCACAATAGGTTCCTTCATTATTGCATGACAAACAACCTAACATCAGAAAATGTATTTCAACAAATTACACTTATTCTCTAATCTTCTTTAAAATAATACGAGATAGTTATTCCAAATTTTATTAATTTTCTTGAAAATAAAATTTAGTATTTTATTGTTTGGTTGGGTTATTTTCAGTCAGAGAATTACTCCAAATAGTTTCACTAGACATATATCATAACCAGAACACAGTCATAATAAAGCTCTTTGTTAGTTTATTTAGAAAATATCCTTTGCTTCAGAAATTTTAATTGAGCTTTGACAGACAAGGGAATAATTATTGACCTTTCCTGGCTTTGTCCCAGTCTTTCCACCCGATTCACAACCCTATGAAAAAATAAAAGTAAGCCATTACTTCAGAAATTACTCATTTGGCCAGTGAGGTTATTTTAAACACTTGGCTTCCGTATCTATAATAACACTTTGACTTTGTTAGTTTAGCTAAGCTGTCATGCATTTTACTGTGCGACAACTGCAATTAGACATGCAATAGTATGCATAAGGCAGAAAGACTAGTGCAGGCATGTGAGAGAAACAATTTTTTGAAGGCATTAAAAGAATCTCTGTAGAGAAAAAGAAATAAAAATTCCAGTTACTTAAGCATTATCCTACTTCATGATTACTGTCCCTAATGCTATGCTAGTACTTTTCTCTCTCATTCCCTGCTTTCTAGCCAACCACGTAACACAACTTGTCACTGTATCAGTTGTTCCACTGCTGAGAAACACTGGTTGAAAAGCCAGAATTTAAAAACATTTGGTTTTAAACAGACTAAGTTGTGAGATAGGGAAGGACCAATGTTCCATAGAAGTCTATCAAGTATCTAAAACAATTTGCCTTGGCGCAATTTCCCTGACCTTCCTCATACTTGTATTTCCCTGTACACGAAAAAGGACTAAACAAAATCTGTTAGTTAAGGGTGATAGCAATTTGATCATATTCAGAACAATTTATAGAAGTATGCCTTTTAACTATTCACGTATCTTACAAGTTGCTGATCAAATACAGTAAGTGGATGCACCGGACAGCAGCTTTTGGCCATCACGGAGAGAACCAGGCACCTTGCTCCTGGGCTGTAAAGTAGGGATGCTTGAAAGAAGATACTCTTTGTCCAAGTGTATGCTTTGGTTCTCTGAGATAAATCTTTTTTATTCTTGCTTTGTACAGAGGAGTAGAATGTTCCCCCACACTGGAAACAGATTTGCAAATAAACAACTGCGATATTCACAGAATAAGCCACGGGAGAATGTCTTGTTAAAAGCAGAGAAAGGACCTTCTTTGGTATCATACTAGCCACAAGTTAAGCCAATGCTGTAGAATATAGTCTCCTGTTCTCCTGTGAGCAACTAAAAAGACTCTCAAAATCTTCAAACTAGAGTCCAGAAAGACTGGCACACTTGGCACTGGGGGGAGAAGGAAAGGTTTCACACAGTCATTATCATTCTAATCTGACAACTTCGATCATAGTTTACCTCTCAAAGTTGCTCATAACAAAAGCCGTAAGAGATTGCTGAAAGAAATCTGGTCTGGTCTTTCTCCAGAGTTAACAGTCTTCACTAAGTATGTAATCTAAGTGATTTAGCTAAACCACTACAAACAAAAGCAGCATAGATAAACAAGGCTTAGGCATTTTCAACCAGATTAAAACTTTGTTCATATTTGTTTACTGTAACTGTGTAAAGGATTCATCATTCACTGTATCCCAAAGTGCAAAAACCAGTTGCATCTGTAGTACTTTATTATGTATCTTGATTTTAATAAACCTTTTAGTATTTTAAAAGAAAACATTAATTTCATTTTAAAAATTAAGATAAATATAAAATTATCCAATTCATTCATGGGGTGCGATGGGGAGGAGAAGGTATGCTGCATGATCCGAAGTTTGGCCTCGGCACCAGGTTTTGGATTATGTTTGATTCAAGGATCAAAAAATGGTAACATCAATGCAAGGAGGGGAAAAAAAAATAAATAAAACCTATTCCCACAAAAAGGTGCATATGTTTCTCCAATAAACACTAAAAAAACAGTAGTCCATTCAGATAAAACAAAGTATCACAGTATAGAGAAAATGCACGCAATTTGAATGTTTAATCTACTAGAACACATCAGTGTGTTTACATCAAAATAACTTAATGTTTACAGGAGATGTGGAAGGGCTTTCACAGTTCAAAGAACTTTTTAATTTTTCAGCCACTTTGACTGGTCTTCTGAAAACTAATCTGAACTGGCATGTTTTCAGTCATTCGAATTGGATTTATATGCCAGTAAATTTTATAAATTTTAAAATAAAATAACTGAAGGTGTGTGAATCTTCAATTTTTTTTTTTTTAATGGCTTTGGGGATTTTCTGTAAATGTAAAATATGCCTACCAACAACCTTCAAAAAGATATACTTTCTTTACATTAAAATTGGTGTGAAATATTTCACGTGAGAATAAAGTTAGCAATGTTATTTTATTATGTAATACTATTATTAGATGGCATAAAACTTAATTTTTCTCAAATGATCTCCAAGTGACTTGGAAGTTGTCTAAATTCTTTCTTTTAACTTAAGGTGATTGCTCTAGGCTTTTAAAGACTGACACATTATGGCATAACAATTTAGACGTATGGATCATTACCCACTTTGAAAAATACAGGTTGAAAAATTTATTTCAAGATTCAGAAATCTTCACAGAATCCCATATTTTCCAAACATATCTATTTTATTCTACTAAGTTTAAACATTGTTTAGATTTGTTTTCATGAATGAAAAGCTTGACAGTGAGTGGATTAACTTTCAGGCTGTCAGCTTACATAAAGACACAGTAACAGCTGAATCATCATCATCTTTTCCTTGGAGGTGAGAAGTCTATAGAAACATTTAAATAACAATCAATCAAAACTACAATAATTCAGGTATTTTTATCCTCCTAAAACCAATCTCTTTTTTCCACCAGCCACTGGAAATATATGCAGATTAATCCAGCTAAACTGCTGGAGCTGTTCTCTGTATACCACCAGGTCTTTGGTTTGCGGGCAACTTGGTTGTTTCTGAACCTTATTAACTGACAGACTATTATTGCCTACTAAAGACAGCAAGAAGAGTCCATCAGTTATTGCACTTTGGGTATTAATGGGGAGTGAGAAAAATGAGACAGTAACACACACTGAAATCCTGTCTTCATGATGTAAGAGAAAGATCATCTACTCATTTAACTGAATCAAGGATTTAACTCAGAAATTTAAGCCCCACAAGACCTTACTAACATAACTTTTAATAAATATGGAATTTGATTTTAGAAAAAAATTAAATAAGTAAAATTTCCATGGGAAAACATTTACTTTGTATGTAGCATTCACTATTCCATAATTAGGCTCTGCCTTTAGTAATTTAAGCAGCAGAATCCAGTAGGGAAA